TATGAAATATGCTTCTCTACTTGTTTTGGCAATTATCTAATAGATGGCAAGGTACAAGTTCTGTTTTGCATCAGTCTGTGGTTCTTTTAAACTCAAAGCAATTCTAATGTCATATGAAAGACTAACACAGTCTAAGAATTTAGATTCCCTGTTCTACCTGAAGAGGCACTGAAATTTGTGTATGTTGGTCTACTACAGGACTTAATAATGTGTTTTTTTGGGAAAAAAAATTGTGAGAAGTGGGAAACTAATTTTATGTCCTGTCAAAGTTTGAGACACGAAGAGATTTCTGTCTTTATCTGGAATTAAAAAAACTCAAATGGTTTTGTTCTTAGAAGCACAAATTTCAGCAGAGCTTACATTTGCTTTAGGTATCTGAAATTTCTTTTAAAAGCTAATTTCTGAAATTTAAATTTTATGCTGAAGTCACCTTTGATCTCAGGGAAAAAAAGAAAAAAAGGCTTTGATAAACTGATGGTTTTAATTAGAAAAGCTTTTCAATAAAAATGCCCTGAAAAACTGTAACTGAGATCATTACCTTTGATATCCAAACAGAAATTTTCCAATTTAGGCATCTAAATCCTATTGCTAGAAGCTTATGTTTTCATAGCTTTGCTCGTGTATTGACATGGTGCTGCTGACCCAGCACTGGGCTCCTGACTGCCTTCATCATCCCCTGGTCCAGGGAGGGACATGGGGTGAGTTGGTGCCACTACAGCTAAGACTGGGAGGACACAGAAGCAAGGGGGCCCGAAGTCCTGTAAAGGGGACTAGTTTAAAGCATGGCACAAATCAAACCAAAAGCAACCAAGGACAACAAAGTGAAAACGCCCTTCTGCTTTCCTCCACGTCTCCGATTACAGAAGTCTTTGCTCCAATTTATTTCTCTTTGGAAACAACTTTTTACAGCTGCACATGGCAAGTACTTAGTGAGCAAAGAAGAGAAGCTGGAAAGAATGATTATTAATGGATTCTGCCAAAAATAGAGGCAGGGCAAAGTCTTCTGCAGCTTAGCACAAGAACTAGTTGATCTTCCCTACACAAAGAGGAGGCATGTCCCGCACTGCCTTCCGGAAAAGGAAGACCAGCGCAGCTGCACTGCCCACTGCAGCAACCCAGGCTGGACCCCGAGGGAACAGGCAGCATGCCCCACTTTCTACTTGTGAAGCTGCTTGAGTCCACACACATTACAAGAGAGGATTTGCCCAAGGCATTGTTAGAACCAAGCAATTCCATTCAGCATCTGCATTTTGTTTTAAATATCTGTGTCTGCAACTGTTTTCCATGACCTTTGATAATCAAGTGTTTCTGTGCAACAAGTGTAGTCAAAGGCAATGTGCCATGTGGGTCCTTGCTCTGGAGGGCACAGGTTTACCAGGGTGCTCAGGGGACTGTAGTGACATCACACGCGAGGTCATATCTAGCTGATGGCATAGGTCAGACCTGGGCAGACATGCTAGGCAGGTGAATATGCTAAAGGGACAAATCCACATCTTGCCTGAACTTGGTGGGAGCTGTATGCCATTGCTTGAGGAGAGACAAGGTACCTCGGCCAGCTGCTCCGGGGCCGGCAGCGGCTCCTGGTTCCTGCCAGGTTTTTGGAAGTGGTGCCCAGCCAGCATCGCACCTTTGTGTTAGGTGGCAGCTCAGAGACAGCCTGCTCCACAGGCTGTGCAGGAGCTCACTGGGAGCCCAGGGAGCAGCTGGTTTCAGAGGTTATTTGCCTCCGTGCGAGACAGCAGGTCTAGGTGAGCTCCTGCTGGTATTCCAAATGCAGCTCTCTGCATAAAAAGAAATAGTTTGGTGCTGTTTAATCAAAAAAAAAAAAAAAAAAAAAAGAGTATATATACCACTGCCATGAAAAAACATACCCACAAAACCAAAAGCAGCCACATACCATCATTCCACACTTGCGTTTCCTCTTTACAACATTCATCAGCAAGTCCTCTTACTCCACAGGACTGCTCAAATTTGTCCTTACTAATGTCAATCTAGGAAAAGCTCAGAGAAGAAAACAAATTGGTCACTGCAAGCTGGAGTGCTCAGTGCAGGTGCTCTGAAACAGCAGGTATTGGAGGGTGGCAGCCAATTTCCCCTTTAATTTCTTTGTGATAAGAGTGGTTGTCACAGTTGCTAAACCCTAGCTAAAGTTAGCATCACATCTGCTGAATCCTGTAAATATGGCTGAAACCCTGATCAAAGTGGCTGAACCGTTTAGTTAGCCTGCATGTGCAAAATCAAACTGGGTTTATTTTAAGTTTGAAGGCTAAGTTTAGCATATGGCAAACTGCAATAGGACTCCTAACACCTCTGCTTTCAAAACTAGAATTGATAACTAAACAGAGAGTTAAGAACCACTTCAAATCTGAGGCCACAAGCTTCCAGATAAAAATAAAACTTTTTCTGAACTCTGAAAGCTGTTGTGTCTGGATCAAACCCACAGCTGAAAGGAAGGTTTTTGTGGGTTTTGTGTTGGCTTTATTGGGTCATAAGACATTATTATTCTCACGAAGTCTACCTTCTCTCTTGAATTGCAGTCCTGATGACTAGCAGTCCTCAAAGAACTCTGCAAGGATCACTGTTTTCTTCTGCATCTGTCAAGGCCCTGGTCAGCAGGCTGGCTCACAGAGGGCTGGTTACAGGCGGTGCTGATCCCAGCACCACTGCACAGAGAAAAAGCTCCGCTTCTGCGCAGAAGAGGTATGGCAGCACTATGGCTGCTGTGTGAACAAAGAGCGTGAACTCTGCAACCAAACACTTCTTTGGGTGAGCCCTGATCCATCAAAACTTGCTATTAGGGAATGCTCCTCAATGCAGACCAAACTGGTTTTGTGCAGCCAGGGTGAATTTCAAGTTTGCTGTTAGTACCATGATAAAAATGAGCAGTTTTCTGTCTTCCACAACTGTTCACCTGTGAAAGCAGCACAGCCTGCCTTTTCAGGTCTCCCCCTTATGCAGGAAGCAGACCTGGTCATTACCTTGCCAGCTGCTGCTGATAACAAGTCAATACTTTCCCACAGTGCAGAGTATAATGCACTTATTTCATCTGTTGACTCCCAAATTAGAAGAGCAAAATCTCCTCGGGAAACTCAGGAACAGCATGTCAACTTCCCTCCCTGAAAAGTGGAATATGAGATATACTGTACCATACATATGGAAGTGCTTATTGCCTTTAAAACCACTGTTCAGCTTTCATCAATAACCAGTGAAATTTAAAATCACTGTCAACAGGAGACTGAAATACAGAACGATAGACTGCAGGGCTAGAAGAAGGCATCTACCATTCCCCGGAGTCACTATCGATTATACCATTCCTAGCAGGTATTTCTCTCCTCTCTCCCTAAAAATCTCCAGTGATAGAAATTCTGCAATATCCCTCAGTCATCTATTTTGTTAGCTTTACAGCAAATGAAGATTTTCTCAGTACCTAACCTAAACCTCCTCTGCTGTGATTTCATTTGCTATCTCTCGTCCTATTTACAACTGATGTGCAGAATAATTTATTCCTTTATTCTTCATGGCTACTTGAAAACTGTTTACATGCCTCCGATTTTCTCTTCTTTAGGCTAAGCAATCATATTTCCTCCAGCCTTTCCTCACAGGCTGTATTTGGTCCATCTCTTATCATTACTGCTGTTCCTAGGATGTTCCATAATCCCGTATCATATTTGAAATGGGTGAGGGTGACACAGTTCACCATCTTTACCACAGTATTGCACTGTATGTTCTTTTGCAGCATCCAATTTACCAATTTGAAATAAAATATTAATACCAATTTAAAAATACTCATACTTTCCCTATCTGCATGTCTCCCTCCTTCAAACAGGCCATCCTTCCTAACCTGCAGTGCCCAAACAGGTGTGTTTGGCTACCGATCACACAGTAGTACCATTTTTTTGGTCCTCTAATGTGGAATAACTCTCCAAATATTAGGCTTTGCACCAATCCTCATCCTGGCAGCAGTTCATAATGTTCAGTATGAGTTGTGGAGCCACAAATGAAGCAAGATATCTGACTGTTCCTAGGGCTCTTTCCTGTCACATCTCTCAAGCCCAGCACCCAGATTTCTCCAGACTGTTGTTTCCAAAGCAAGCACACTGCTGAAACTATACCACAGCATTAACCTACACAGAACAGCGATAGACCCTGTCAAGAAGTCACCCAGAATGGTTCTGTGCTCATGTCTACAGAGAACCAAAATGCCAAGTGCTTCTGAGACCCTCCCAGCATCAGTTTCTACCTGGCCCACTAATCACAAAGAAGCCACTGTCAGGGCTTACAACACAATGCATTTGAGATACGAAATATTTGATCTGCTAGACTGTACCAGCTCTAGGTCAGCATGTTGCAGCCTATCTACAGCACATGCTTTCTGCTTGAACCTCTGCTGCAATGAGAAAAAAAATAATAATCAAAAAGTAAACTCACTGTTATATTTTTCTTTCCGATTCATTATGTGTCTCGGCAGACTTTTTTATACTATTTCTGTTCATTAGCACCAAACTCTGAACGTTGCGGCCTTCACTGTGCAGTTTTCAAGTGTAATGTTATTTGCACTAAGTCAGGACAACTATGAATTCACAGTGCCTGGCCAAATCGTATCTTAGGCCTCCTGACCTAGTTGTGGAGTCTTAAATCCCTCCACTGTTAGCCTCGTGCTACTGGAATGAAAAAAAAGCCAGCCTGCTGCATGTGTTAAAAGCTTGGGGATTTAGCAGAAAAATTTGATGTAACCAAAGGCACCTAAATCTAATGTTAGGAAAGGTTGCGCCACATCAGAGCATGTCAGCAAACTGGCATTGCCATTAATCCTGCCCTGGAGAAGAATGACTCCTATATTGTCACACTGCAAATCAAGACGCGAGATGGCTCTGTGCCTTCTGACTGTTACAGGCCAGGGATGACACATGCCAGAGACATGTTTCCCCGTGCTGCTGCTCACACCGTGACTCCTCCACACTCCCATCCCTCTCCCAGTGCAAATCCCACGGGCTCTGTACCTCACCACCAGGAGAAGAAATGCTTGCACACAATACAAGGCCTGGCAAATTCAGTCCAGAATATACTTGCTGACGTTAATTAGATCGCAATAACATTTCCCAGGTTGCACATTCCTGCAAGGAAGAAAGAAAAAAAAGAACTATTAATTGTGAAACCAAAATGTGGGGGACCACAGAGCCTGGGTAACCTATCTATTTGTATTTCCTTGTGTAAGGAGAAATTCTTCATGAGAAACTGTAAAGAGGAGCCTGCCTCCACCTACAGAGGAATCAGAACAGGAAAACATGCTGACTACGCTCTCTGTGTCAGTCCCTGAGACCAACAGGCCCAATTTGTTCTCAAACAAATTTAAGATAATTCTCCTGATGTCAGCATAGCATAGTAAAAGCCAGTATAAATGGTGGAATGAAAGCAGAAAAACCTAAAAACATGGATGGATGGATGTGGAGGTAAGGCTGAACAGAGCTATCCACTGATACAGTTGCTAATAAGGTTTCTATTGTTTAGGCTAGTGAAATATACATGCAAAAGCTGAAATAAATCAACTAAACAAATGTCAAATCGACCTCCTTTAACCTCTAGATGATTTTAACAGCTAATTACAGAAATTATTTGCAGAACTTGCATTCAAGTTGGGAGAGGGTGGAAGGAAGGAGAAGGGAATGGCCAGCAAGATGTGACAGGGATGTGCTACAAATAGAGTCTCAGCAAAAGATACCCTTGTCCATTTGATGTATTTATTATCAAAACAAAATGTCTTTAATAATCCAGTCAATTTAAAATAAAAGAACAGCAACCATTCTGCATTTTATGGATTTACTTCTATTTAGAGATCAAAGTCTTGAGACACCAATCCCTCACTTGTACGAACCTTTGCATACACTATACGGTGAAATAAAACCCACAAGGGGATCCTGCTATATAAACTCTCTGAAGCTGGTCTATGCAGTTCAGGTTTGCATTAGTTGGTGTTGAATATCTTGACTCCTATTTTTTCCCTTGTGGAGAGCAGGACAACCCTGTGCCATGGATCCAAGTGCACAGTGGACACCAAGTCAGAGCCATACAGCTGAGTAGCTTTTGGGGATCAAAACTGGCCAGTGATTAAAGTGGCATTCTGAGTGGTTTCTGTTTGCTTGCAGAATTAAGGACACTTGTAAAGTTGCTTTCATTTAACTTTTAAGCTCTCTCAAACTTACAAACTTTTATACTAATATTGCCCAAGGGAAAGAAACAAATAATTAAAAAAAATCATACAGAAAAATGAATTTTTCTTCCGTAGATGCTACGAATATGTGAAAACACATACACAGTCTCCCTTCCTTCTGAAGTTCAGTAAAATAAGAGGGTTTTTTTTCCTGAGCACAGAATTTGTCCCCATCTGGTTCCATTTTTTACTATTTTCTTTTTTTGGTTTCCTTCTCTCTCATTCCAATCCATATTTATTTCCTTTTGTTTAGTCTGTACTCTTTATTCCCTTTCCTCTTTTTGCAGATTTCCTTTTTAATTTGTTAGGGAAAGAAACATTCTTTCCCTGGTTTTCATATTGCAAGCTGGTGGAACAGGCCCATTCAGAAATTCCTCTCCTGTACCCTCTCCGGCTCTTTCCCTCCTCTTTCAGTTCTGGTTGCCTGGGCTCCCTCCTGGTAGCAGAGTAGAAGTGTTAGGCTTTATTTATTTAGGGAAGTGTATCAGTTTATTTTTTAATTCAGTTTCAAATACCTGGTGCAAACCACTGCATGGAAGCTCAAATATATTATTTATGAGCCATTATATTTAGCTTAAAACAACTCCTAATCTATTTGAGATGAGCTGCTATAAAGCAGGATTAGGCTGAAATGAAAATGTCTGCAGCAGGATTTCACTAAATTGCTTTTAAATCACGTTCTTAGTTAAACAGAGTTGAGTTTCACAGCGCTCTGGTGAAGGCTATAAACCCCAATAAAGGAAAAAGGCTGATTTGGGGCAGAACTCTGGCTCTCTTTGCAAAATTTGATGGTTTTACAGAAGCAGAGAAGCCCAGTTAAGGCCAGAGCCTTCTGCGTGTAAAACTGCAAAGCTCAAAACATGACAGCAAGCTCTGCAAGGCTGCAGAGAGCAACAGAACTGTTAACTACCCAGAAACTGGGCCCTGCTACTCCCAAATTGCCAAGACCCTCAGCACCTCGCAGCAGAGCCAGACTCAGCATCCACCCCCCCGGGCAGGAGGCGGTGAGGATGTCCCTGACCATGCAGCCTGGTCCTTCCTGAGCCACTGCGTTCATTTTATGCAGATATTTTTACACTGAGATCAGGATGAATGCACCAGGTGATGTGAGGAAAGTAAGAGAGCTGTGCAACTTAGTCTGTTTTTCTACAGGATCAGGGAAATATTTTTTTAAAATATTTGGGAAGAAGTGCGGACAGTTTTAGGAATCCTTGCCTGACACTCAAATCTCTGATTTTAATGTCTGGCATGCCCTTGGGACAGCATCTGTCACTCCTGGCAGCTGCACTTCTGCTGGGGGGCTGCCACTGCCCAGGCCCCTCCACCTGGCAAGCTGTGACCTCGGGAGGCTCTGCACAGAGCCAGCACCTTGGCCTTTAGCCGCTGCCACCCGCGCGGCCCCCGCCTCCTCCCAGCACCACGTGCACCCCGCGCTGGGATTTAGTTTTGGTTCAGATCCCATGCGGCACTACTACTATATTCTACATTCTATCATCAGTAAGTTTATTTTCTTTGTAACTTTCACTCCAACTTTACATTCAAAATTTTTCATTAATCACGAGTGCCTAGTAATATTCAAAAGTAACGAATGTACTTTTGAGCAGGAATACAAAACGTACATCCCATTAAACAGCCTCCCTCTGAAAGCTGTCACGTTCACCAGCACCAAACTGGTGCGATCGTATTCCTGACACAGTGTGTTCCCAAGCCAAAACCCTCCAGCACAGAAACGCTGGTGTGGAATTCCTCAACAGAAATCACCAGGAATGAGAGAAAACCTTAACAAGAGACTACACCAGTAAAATCAAACAACAGCTCTATACTCGGTACAGCCAAAACAAACAAAGTCAAGTTCTCACTACAGTCAATAGCTTTAACCTGTGCTTGGAAAAGCACTTTCTGGTATTTATTAATACTGAGCACTTCTATTAAAAATCCAGACCTTTTACTCATTATATGAAAGTCTTAACAAGATGGAGAAGATTTCATTCACCCTTCTAACGTGACTGAGGTTCACACTGCTGTTGTACAGCAAGGCAGGCTCCAACCTTCTCACAAACCTAGCCAACCCACAGTTGAGCTTCCTATTTTTGCCCCATACAGTTCTGCTCTGAAAGCCCACGTTGCTCACTACCTGCTTACACAAGTGCCATACGGACCACTTCTTACCCACCCCCCCCAAAAATCTCTGAAAATACGTATGCAGAACTCCTGTAGGACAGTTAGAGACATTTTAAGAGAACTAACCTGTGCTATTTGAATCCGTTGGAGGTCACCCGATTCTGAACTTCCCCAGCAGCTTCAATCTCATTTCCTGTAGAGTGGCATGTGACACCACACTTCCTCACCGCACCTTGCTAGACTCTCTTTGCTTACTTTTTAAAACCAGATAAAGAAACTAACTGCCCCTTACAACATATTTAAGAGCCTTCTACTTTCATGCTGAACCACTGACATTTCTGCATGGTCAGAGAGCCCTCCTTTATTGCCTTCTGAGTCACTCATGAGTCAATGGACCTTTTTGTACATTTCTTTGTATTAATACCAAACGCTGAATGTGATTTTGTCACAGTATGTTCAGTGCCCCCTCCCCCCCAATCTTCTTTTAAAGAAGAAATAAATGCAATGGTGGAGAATGTAATTACACTGCAGGCGTGGGAAATTTCAGTTCAAGGATATTTGTTTATCAAAGTTTCAGAGTGGTAATGATGTGTTCGAATAGATGCAGTTATCAGCAGTTTTCAGAAATATTTTTCATTTGAATATGAGAAACAGCTTTCACAGGAGTTTGAGTCCTAGGAAAAATAGTTTATGACTTCAGAAGAGTAGATGTTCTTTTCTCAGGTGTAGCACTGCGTATCCATATATTGTCATCTAGGGATGGGACAAACAGGCCTGAACATATATCACAAAAGGAAGTACCAGCAGATTAGAAGAGTATGTTTACAGGGTTAGTCAGTAGGTGGTGCTTTAGCAGAATGTTTTTTTTTTTTTAAAGACACATCAATTTTGGAAAGGCAATCCAATCCTAAGTGATATGAACACCAGAAATGCTGACACAGCCTGGAGATAAAGTTTGAAGACTACCGTGTCCAAGGAGAGGCTTACCAGGGTCAGCAAGGAGATACTGCTCTGCTGGAAGATGCTCCTTGTGGAGCATGTTAAACACCCTTCAATTAGGCTATGGGAGGGGGTAGAGATCAATTAAATGTCCCTTTATTTAGTGAGAGCTGAAATAACAACAGCCAATGCCTGGGGCACTGATCAGCCTATCAAGGACTGAGAGAAGGCAGACAAGTTACACAGCCAGAGGGGTTCCCTTGGACACTGGCTGCAAACATCTATGCTGTGGCACGGGTTGGATTTAGCTGCACCTAATTGTGGGTGTGATGAACCTGAAGGCAGGAAGACAGTGAACAGACAGTGATGCTGCACATTTGGGATGCAAAGTTTTCAGCAGCAACACTCATTTATGGCTGTCCTCCCACCGTGCCCCATGGCTGTCTCAGGTGTGTTGGCACAGTAGTTTCACAGCCTGCACCATGGGCCGTATTGAGGAACTGATCTAGTGTTCTAAAGTTGATTAGGTTTTTTTTTCTTTTTCTCACTCTCAGGCAGCAGAGGACAACTGCTGGCACGAAGCTGGCTCTGCTGCTACCCAGGCTGTAACACAAAACCACAGTTTACAGCAAGAGGCCCAGAACAAACCAATGGGAGCTTCTTCTTTACCCATTGGTTGATGCATTCTAGGCAATTTCTAAGTAAATGAAGAGGTTTCCACTAAAAATGTTGTCTTTTAAATTAAACTGTGCCAGATTAAGACCTCAGTGTTGTGAGCAGCCTCCCGGTGTCCACCAACCAGGGATTACCTCCCCATCTGCTGCCTCGGGCTTCCTACCACCGCTC